TGGCATAGTGGGATCCTGCCTCAAACAAATGAAATCCAGCCAACCAAGCCGCTTTCCACACACAGCAGCACCTTAAACAACCAAACAAGCATGAGAGGAAAGTAAGAAAGGTGAGGCTCCAGGGACCCTCAGCTTAGCCTGGAGCCAAGGAGAGCAAGGGAGGGAGAATGTCCTGGTGCTGTTACCTGAGTGCGCTCTCTGCCTTCAAACTCCCAGCCCTGCAGCCAGAAACCAGGCTTCTCTCTACAAGCCTGTGGGGTGCGGAGGGGGAGAAGGCAGACACAGCTCCCGCTCTGTCCCAAGGCCAGCCAGCCTTGATGCCACACGGCAAAGAGCCACATCTTTCTCACACCCGTTCTTCAGGTTTGTTCCCAGAAAACACAAGAACCATGTTTCTTCAGGCCACCGCGGTTCCTCACGATCTTCCAGTCAGTTGTTATTTACTTATGTGCTCGCTTTAATCTCTGCGAGTGCCTGTGTGTGCAGTTTTGTGTATGAACACGGGGCTTCTGTGTGTGTGTGTGTGTGCACTGGTGTGCACTGGTGTGCACTGGTGTGCATGGGTGTGCTGGTGGTACTCGTGTGGAGGTCACAGTCACTGCGGGTCCCGGCCCTCCTCTCTCGCCCCTGTGTCACAGCAGGAGCACAGCTGACAGACGTGAGCATCTGACCTTTAAGGAAGGTTCTGGGGTTTCAAACGCAGTTCCATAAGGATTGTGTGCCAAGGGCTTTATTCAGAGAGTCACCTCTCTTACCACTTCCTGTCCCATGTTTAATGTGTGAACTGCTAGAGGGTCATCCCCCCCCCCCCCCGCCACTGACTTGGCTGGGACTGGCAGGACAGAGTTGGTGGCCTCTTTGGAGACCACGATAGGCTCTTCCAAAGCTGTCATCACAGCATTGCATGTGGCAAAGGCTATGAGGGTGAGGTCAGATCATTTTTAAGACCTCTTGAAAATTAGTTTCATACTGTATGGGTAGACTTAGATGCAAAATTTCATCTCACAGGGAAAGCAGGGTCTGATTCTTGAATGTCCAGGGGAGCAGCTGGCCACATGCCTCATGCTGGTTTTGATATGGGCCAGAGGAGGCAGACTTGCCAAGACACCAAGTTGTTGTACTGTCAGGGGATGTACAAATCCCCAAATCCACACATTCAAGTTTTAACTCCAAGTCCTCAGAATGAGACTGTATTGGATATAGAATATTCTAGAAGCAATTACATTTGAGAAGCAAATACATATGAGAGTATGCCCTGCTATGACTGATGGGCTCATAAGAGGAGGGGAGGGAGGGGCTGGGGCTGGTAGTTCATGCCTGTAATTCTAAGACTCCAGAGGCTGGGGTAGGAAGACTGCTTTGATTCAAGGTTATCTAGGTTAGCCTGTGCTAAAGGGTGAGGAGAGAGAGAGAGAGAGAGAGAGCGCACCAGGACAGGCAACAAATAAACCACAAGACAGACAAGACAGCCCTTACAAGAAACCAAAGTTGCTGATACATTGACCTTATACTCCGGCTTCTAGAGCGTGAGGAAACACATTTCTGCTTTTTAAGTCTCCAAGTCTGTGGTGTTTTGTTGAAGTAGCCTGATCCCTCACTGACGGGTTTTGCATGGTGGACAAAGCCACACGTAATTTCATCTATGACCTTCTGTCACTTACGTCTTCAGGGGCACGAGAGGAAGTGTCTTCAAGTCCTTAAACAGTGGCAAACCGGTTTCTTTGATTCCTGTCCCGTAGCTCTGCCGAGTGTATCACCGAGAACTATGCTGCTGAGATTTTTACCCGTGGTTCTAGGAACTCAGGCATCTCGACACTCAAACTTTGCCTAGACCACTAAGCCACTTCTAAGAACAAGGCTACCTGAGGCATTTTGAAAAAAAAAAAAAAAAGGAGACAAAAAAGTGGCGGCGCTTTCCCTCCACAGCCTTCTCTTCTGCGGTGCACACTGCAGCTTCTTAGGGGACCCAGTCGGGTTCTGCAAGAGTTTCATGTCCCCAACCACGTGTGATAGCTCCTGGGAGTCTCAGGCGACTCTTATCTCCTTTCTGAGGCAGACTAAGTGAGAAGCTGGCGTGGGGTGATGGGAGAAGAGGGGAGTCTTTGTGGTAGACCACATTCTCCTTGCGTGCCAGTGTCAGATGCCGGCCCAGCTCTCACGAGAAAGGGAACAATGGCTTTGCTCGGTTCCCCATCTCTGTTTGCTCCCAAGTTTCCACGCTGGTATCAGGCTGAAAATGAGTTACAGGTTTCCTCCTGTGAGTATTGCAGAGACTGATAAAGTACCCTCCCAGGAGGAAAACAAGATGCTCTGAGTGGCCACAGTGGCCGCTCGGGAGGGACACATGACCATAAATTACAGGCCAGAGCAGCCGTGGGGAAGCCTATGCATGGCCAGGCTATGGCACCAGGGGCCAGGAGGTGGGCTGTGGGAGTAGATTGGTTAGGGTAGTGGGTTCTGGCACCAGTTTCAAATGGACCCCCCCCACACACCAAAGAGCAAGACAACAACAACAACACACACAAACAAAAACCAGCAATGTTTTGACACTGTTCTAACTGGAGTGTTTCGTGGACTGCCAGTGTAGGTCATTAAACCCTTGTGTTGACAGGTCATTCAAACGAAATAATATTAGCCAGGAAGTTGCCAAGAGTTCATTGCGGTTCTAATGCTAAATCTCCATGCTATTCAACAGCTTGTGGATTCTGACAGCTCTTTCTCCCCCCCCCCCCCCCCTCCATCCTTGCGGTTTGCGGGGGGAAGGAAGTGGGACCTTCTCAAATGAATCATGCTGATTTTAAAAAGTCAGTATTATGTGATCTGTGCCTGTTATGGGCATTCATGTGGGGGAATGTGGACACGTATGTTCCACCGTGTGCGTGTGGAGGCCCGGGGGATAACCTCAGAAGTTGGTCCTCACTGACTATCTTGTTCGAGGCGGGGTCTCTTTGTTGTCTGATGCCCTCTGTGTACTCCAGACTGGCCTGCCTGTGAGCCTGTCTGTAGCTCCTGTTTCCCTGTAGGAACACTAAGGTTACACATCGCTGCTCCTGGATTTTATGAAGGTTCCATAGATTCGAACTCGTGTCTTCATGCCTACACAGTAGGTACTTACTCCCCTGCTCCTCCTGAATTCTGATGGAAGCAAGCCCTGTTCGGGTAGCCTGTTTGAAAATAATCAGACTCTTGCTTCTAGGCTGGAGCAGCGGGCTGCAGGGCTCAGGCTCTGCTGAGTTCCTGGTTACCACATCCCTAACTGTCTTTGCTGTTGGGCCCCTAAAGCCATTCCAGAAGGCCAGCACCACAGGCAGCAGTGCAACCCAGTCCCCAGGGGAATGTTCAAAGTTTCCTGCTTCTGTCTTCCTGAGTGTATCAAATAGGAAACAATAAACATTCGGACCGTGCACTGAGAGCCAAGTAAGCCAGGGATTTTTCTACAAATATTGCTTCCTTTGCCTGTAGGCAGCCCAGAGGAAATGCAGTCAGTGAGCAGTTGGTGGCTTTTCCCCGGGGGAGGGGGGGAGGGGAGATGGGCCGGTGTCTCTGCCTACCCCACTGTAGGACACTGTATGATATGTGTGACTCACACCCGTCCCCATGATTCAACTTCACTCCATTTCCTCGGCTGCCAGCAAGCGAGCACTTGGAAGCCCTTTAATTTAAAGCTTGGAATTGGTTAATGGCTTGCTTTCTTCTCCCTTCTCCTTCAGTTCGGATGCCACCCAAAAACCTACAAGCACGTGTGCACACACGCATGCACACACACTCATGAGTGCAGACACACACACACACACACACACACACACACACACACACACACAAGCGCATGCCCCCTTCCCCAAGTTTTTACATTTCTACATAGAAGCACTGTGGTGTCGTCAATAGCATTTGCTGTGGCAGAGTGTCTGGCAAGCCCTCTGCATTCCCCTGCTCATTTGGCGGCATGAATAAATAATGATTCACAGATACGAGTTGGGTGTGCATAAGAATTTGTAGTCCGAAAACAAATCATACCCCCCCCATCCCATTCTACTCCGTACCAGCGCTGCCAAACCCTCAAGCCACAAACTGCAGACACAGGTCAAAGAGCACGTCTTGATGCACGGCCTTCATGATCTTTTCATGCCACTGTTTTTATTTGCTTTAGCTCAGTCCCCATTTACCAGGAAAGATCCACAAAACACACATGGCCACTCATGGCTCAACTCCAGCCTTTCCAGTTTCAAGTGGTTGGCTATAGAAGTGCAGGCAGGTTTGGAGACCTGCACGGCGCCTACCCCAAAGCCTGCAATCTAGTAATTTAGCTGTGAGCATGCGTGGACTTAGGAAATGGCTTCATAGTTCTTTTCGAGAGAGACTGTGTGCGCCACAACTTGCTGGCTTTCTGTCTTGAGCAATGCCGATTGCCCTTTTGCAATTGAGGCTAAAAGAAAAACCACAGCGCAGCCCCTTCGGATGATTCTTTTCCCAGAATGAGTCTGCCCGGATCTCGCTCTCTGCGAGTTGCCACCTTGGCCCTGAAATCTTCAGGCAGATCCAAGGTATACCTGTGGGCTGCCTCTTCCAACCCACACTCCTGGCACCATTTCTCCTGGTCCGCTAAACCCTGGGCAAGCTGAACTCAACGACAGGGCCAGACAGCTTGCTGACTTCAGAGTACCTCCAATAGAGTCCTTCAGGGCTAGGGACAGTCATCTAAAACCCAAAGCGTATCCTCTGTGCCAGTGCCAGTCTTTAATCCCCAGGACTGTAAACAAGAGCAGTCCAAAGCACTTGACACAACTTTCCCTTGGCGACCAAATACTTCAACAACTCAACTAAGCATTTACTGAAACATCTCCGCAGTCCAGCGCCCAGCAGAGAACTAATCCAGTTGCCTCTGTCTGGATTCCTCCCCCCAAGCAGGCAGGGACCCCAGACAGGCACCGGAGGGTCCACTGGCTGCCATTTCAGTCTGCAAAGCTAAACCAAATCAGATATAAAAAGACCAGCGTACTCACCTCTCATGAAGCACTGTGAGTATGCAGGAAATGACTCAAAAATGCTGTCTGAAGCCATCGTTTCCTTTCAAAAACGCACCTCTTCTGAAGGTGGGGTATTCAATGATTTCTTCTACCTTAAGAGCAAGAACCAAGAAAGGTCATTTACTCTGACCTCACCTCCCGCCATGGCTCCCTAAATCTTTTTCTCCCCAACCTTAACACCCCTGGGACTCCATGGGCCCTATGAGGGAAAAAAGTACATTTGCAGAAACAAATATTCAAATTCTAAAAGATTAAAAAAAAAAAAAGCAGCGCCTAGGCTGTGGGCTGAGCTGCTCACCGCTCTACGAGAGCCTGTGGTTAGCATTCAGTGTGATTCGTCCTGCCTGCTGACCACTATGCCGGGTTTAGACTTCTGACACTGCCAGCCTACCCGACTTGTGGTTCTGTGGTTGTTTATGAGGCCCAGGGAAGTTTTCACACAACCCAAATTACAAATTTAACTGTTCCCCTTTCCACAGCCCATCACCATTGGCTCCTGGCAGTCACGTGGCTTAAGTGATGTCAATTTTTTTTTAAACTTTCTGAGCTATGCCCTTCCTGCCCTCCACCTGCCCTCCCCCAGGCTGTGTAAAAAAAATAATAGTTGAGTAGATCTTAGAAGAGGGGGGCTGTCAAAGAAACGCAAGCAAACAAACAAACAAAATCCCCGCCTCCGTCTTTACTTGATGTCTCTGCTCTTCACTGATTTAGTGGAGATCAGATCCTGTTGTTATTTGTGGTTTGGGGAACAACTGATTATTTAGATAAAGATTGCCTTGCTGTTTATTCAATAGTAATTTAACATTGGCACCAACTCGCTGCTGAGACCGGATGCGGCTCCCATCTCTTAAATTGCTGGGCATCAGCTTGGAGAGCTGGGTTCTTGGTAAAAGCATCTAAGATTGAAAAGGGGAAAAAAAAACAGATAAAGGAACCATTTCTGCGAGTGGCTGACGCTGAAAGGGGGCTTACTGGCACTTCAAAGCTTGGGAACAGAAACAAAACGTTTTAATTGTGGAATGAAAAGACCATTTTAATAAAAACCCAAATGGTGTGGCTTTGTTCCCCTTCAGTGGACAGACTCAGTGTGGGTCTCTTTCAGTAAACAGAGAAAACTGTGGCACGCTCTGCACACCCGCACCCGCTCCTCTGTTCCTATCAGGAAGTTCATTTCAAGGAAAGCAAAGAAAGGAGAATTTCCTTACAGGGCAGAGCTGAGGCTGGTGGACAGCAGTTCATTTATGGGTAGTACCTTTGAAGACTGCTGGTAGCCTCAAATAAACAGGCTAATCCACACCTCTAGGCAAATCAGAGTCCACTTACACCACCTAGAGACTATCCAGAACCTGCCTCCTCCTAGCCAGTGGAGGGGGATCCTAGGCATCCCTCCTGCCTTCAGCAGCCATGTTTGTCTGGAGGCAGGCAATGAAGACAAGATAACTGGCTCTCCGCCCACTTGCATTCGCGAGTCTCTCTGTTTGACGGGCAGACAAGGAAAACCTGACTCTGTCCGCAGCTCCCAGATGAGGCTCGCCTTTCCTTTCCTAACCTGGTTCTTCCTTGTCCTCTGATCAATTTTCCTTAGTTTCGAGGCACAGCCTGATGGGAAGCTGTGCCTTGAACATCACAGGTCCAGAATGCCAGGCCTGGATCCCATGCCCCGGGAATGGAAAGTGCTTCCCTAAGTCTGAACCCCCGAGGAAGCCTCACTTGCTTTTCTCAAGCTAATTTTGCACACACCAAATCCCAGGCTGTTACCTTCAATGACACAGGTCTTTCTAAAGGACCAGACTCCATTTTTACTAAATCCTGTTTTAACCAATCAATGCAGGAATGAGAAACCTAGGGATTTCCTTCTCCCAGTCAAGCTGAGCAGTCAACAGCAAATGCCCGCACGTGGCTCACACTTGACAAACAATGGCTGTACATCTTTTATGAAGCTTATTAATACCTAAACACAACGGGGACTTCATGTCCCTCTCCATTCAAATCCCTTGTTAATACAATCCTCATTATTCAAATCCCTTGTTAATATAATCCTCATTATGTCTTTGTGCTTCTAAACAAATCCCAGGCTGAGTAGAGGCTCTGGCCAGACTGCGCTGTCTTCTGCACTTGCTCCTCCACCAAAAGCTCCCAGGATCCAAGTGCTGCAGCTGCAGCTGCCTTCTCCAAGGTGACTCACTCTACAGGGAGTGAGACCCTCAAGTGTCCATGCAGATTAATCCTGTAGTTATTTCTCTGCAGAAACTCCCGGATGCTTTTAGCGTTAGGTGTCCACAAGCCACAAGGATGGTTTAGATGCCTTCGGGGATCTCCATGAGGCAAGTCAGAGAGGAAGAAGGTTTTCAGGGTGACCTTTCAGGGTCCCACTCCAGGCTGTCATCACAAGGCTCTGGCTGCAGTGAGGCACCAGGGGGCAGAGTACAAAGGCACTGAGTGATCAGCATGGCCTGTGACCCAAGCCCGAGTAAAGCTTCAGGGCTCACCAAGGCAGGGATCGCCGAGGCAGCTGTTAAGGTTCTCTGGGTCTTTCCAGGCCATGGCAGCATGGACGGACTCACTGGCTGCCAGCAAACCGGATCTTTGCCCTTCTTCAGGAGCCCGAGACAAAAAGACAGGTCTGTCATCGGCGAGCAGTCTAAAGAAATACTTAATCCCATTTTAGGCAGAACTGTTGAGGATTCTTTAAGTTCTCAGGTGGACCCACCCTCCAGCCTCATTCCTGTTGGTGACTCAGACCCCAGGCTGCTGGCCTGGGAACCACACTGGAGCTGCAGGGGACTGTGGCTCTGCCAAATAATGCCACAGCAATCTTCAACCTCTGACTGGCAAAGTTACTGAGATGCCACTCTTGAGGGTGGGGTGGGGAAATGCTCAGGTGTCTTTGTTAATGCTCCTATAAAAATACCAGGAAAGGTTGAAAGATGCAGAATTGTGTAACCCTGTAATTAATGTCAGGAGCTGTGCGTGCAAGTCCATCCAATTAAAACTCTCTCTTAGGCTGGCCTTTTCATTGTCTGGCTGTTTTGTGCTGCCTCTGAACTCCACACCTAGATAACACAGATCCTCTGGACGGAAAATAGGGGTATAGATGGGTACCCCCAAATTAGGTGGTATCAAAAATCCTCAGATGAGAACACGGATGAATGATCTCCAGAGAACACGGATTGTGTATGTGTGTGGGTACACACGTGTTTGTGCCCACAGGGGTACACAAGTATCTGGAGGCCACAGGTCTTTCCCAAGTGCTGTCCACTTTGCTTTTTCCTTTTGAAGACAGGGCCTTTCAGTGATCAGGGCTTCCCCACTAGGCCAGACTGGCTGGCAAGGAAGCCCCAGGGATGCTCCTATTTCTGCCTCCCCTGTGCTGGGGGTACTAGTGCAGACGCTCACACCAAGACTTCTTAATGTGGGCTCTAGGGATAAACTCAGGTCCTCATGCTGTGTGACCAGCGTGTTGCCAACTGAGCCACCTCCCCAGATGTGTCAGATATTGTTGTTGTTAGATCTCTGCTCTGCGACAGAGGCCGTAGCCTGTGCTATGGCAGCTATGGGCTCAGGGATTTACGGCTGGTATCTGAGCTCTGGCGACTGAACAGAAGAACCTGATGCTGGCAGCTCTGATGGCTTAAGAGGATGGGAGAGCCTGATAGATCTAACTCACCAGCTTTCCTCTTTGTACATTTCCAGTGTTTTGTGTGTGTGTGTGTGTGTTGTGTGATGTGTGATGTGGGGGGTATGTGTGTGATGTGTGTGTGTGTGGTGTTTGGTGTGTGTGTGGTGTGTGTGATGTGTGATGTGGGGGGTATGTGTGTGGTGTGTGTGTGGTGTATGTGTGTGGTGTTTGGTGTGTGTGTGGTGTGTGTGATGTGTGGTGTGTGTGAGTGTGGTGGGGGTATGTGTGTGGTATGTGTGATGTGTATGTGTGGGTGGGTGGTATGTGGTGTGTGTGGTGTATGTGGTGTTTGTGCATATGGTGTCTGTGGTGTGTGTGGTACATGTGGTGTGGTGTAGTATGTGTGTGATGTGGTGTGTATGTGGTATGGTGTGTGTGTACATACAACCGTGGAGTTTCCCTCATTTGGGTAGAAGTTAAATGTGCACATTTAAGCTCCTGGGAGACTAAAAATCAGCTTAGCTGATGTTACGTTACATTGAGGGAAACAGGAAACTGGAAGGAAGGAAGAAGGAAAAGGAGGTAGGAAGAAGGAAGCAGAGAAGGGAGGGAAGCATTGAAACCAACCTGTAAAAGAACAAGTCTAAAGGCCTGAAGGCCAACTAGTGACATTTGCTTGTAGTGGGAACTTTGAGCCATTTGCTGCAATCAAAGGAGACCCGAGCCAGCAGCCAGGACCCCATCTGGGAACTTGCTAGGAATCAAAGTCTTGGCTCATCTTCAGCCCCCAGTCAGAATCTAACACAGTCCAGACCCCCAACTCCTGTGCGCACTGAAGCTGGAGGAACATGGAAGATCCTGAGAGCAGGAACCTCCTTCGTGTAACCCAGAGTTAGGAAAGAAGAACCAGGAGGAAGGCATCTGTCGGATGGTATGACATCATTCCCCACTCCCACTCCCTACCCCCCTTGGCATTGGCAGAGGCCTCTAGCACTCTATCTTGTTGCCCTGACATAGGTGCTGACCTAAGTCCTGAGCTGTTCCGGACAGTAGCCACCCACAAGTGCTGGTTTCCGTTCCAGTATTCCTTCAAGTTCCCTGGACCCCACACTGCTGGGCTGGACAGTTCGAGGTGTGGCGTTCTATACAGGGAGGCTCCTGGGTGCTGTAGACAGCAGCAGGTGACCATCTGGGTAAGACTCTCAGTTTTCCCTGGCTTTGCAGTTTTGAATTTGTGTGAAGTACTGTGAGCTCTACCAGACACTCACCACAGGCCCTAACAGCAGGCTGTGACCTCTACTAAACACACACTGTGGCCCCAACAGCAGGCAACCCTGCAGGTGGCCTTGGCAGCCCCACCACAACACTCTCACCCTGGTTCCTTTCCCCACGCTCTGCAGTAACTACCACCCGGATGCCATCCTCTGACCTTCGCTTCAAAGGAAGGGCTCAGCTCCTTTGTCCATTTCTCCAATAGCTTAACCTTCCAGGGCCGGAGGCTCCACTTCCACAGGTCTGCAGGAGGCTGGTGACCCTCAGGCCAGGTTTGCGATAACTTTTCCTTATAGAGAGTTGGCTCTTCTGTTCTTGCTGCCACTTGCTACCAGGTGTGTGTGTGTGTGTGTGTGTGTGTGTGTGTGTGTGTGTGTGTGTGTAAACCCGTTTTGAATGGTAGAAATGTACAGTGTTCAAGGTTTGGTCAAACAATGGAGAGAATAAGGTAGTTAGTGATCAACTTCCAGCCCAATGTTGGAGCTAATTTTATCATGCAAACCATACTGAAGGAAACTCAGACTCCTGTGAGAGAAACCAGGACTCACTGG